CGGCGAGAAACTCCTCCGTCATGCCGGCCGTAAGCGGTCCCGACGAACCTCTCAGTTTGTTGGTCACGAGACGGAACGGGAGACCCCACGGATCCGAATCCGCTTCGCTCAAGAGTTTTTTCCAGCACGTCTGCTTGGAACTCCATATCGCTCGTCGGACCCGGACCCGGGAAGCCCTCCACTCCGCCTTTAAACGCGCCAAAACCAAAGACCAAAACCTCCGCGAAAGATTTATTCCCCTCGTACCTATTTAAAACCACCGTGGCCGTCCGCGGCGTTTTAAATTTTCGTACCGAAGCGGCTGCCGGAGCCGACTTCAGCTTTTTCCCATGGGACTTTGTGGGCCCCTGCACTTCCTTTTGGGAGGGAGCAGGAGCGGATTCATTGACATCTTTCCTCCCGTCTGCAGCGACCCGTTTCGCGCTTTAGCCGTCTTTTCGCGGCCGCACCACGACGAAGCGGTTGCCATCGGCGAGGTGGCCGCATCTCGGAACGCAGTCACCTCCCCGCGTTCGCGTTCGGCATTGCTGTCTTTTCCCCCCACCCCAGAAGAAGCCAGGTTCGACTCCTCCTGTTTCCCTTTTTTTTCAACCTCTCGATCTGGCTCCGAGCCAGAACGAGTTCCTTCCTGAGCGCCGACACGCGGGCGCCGTCCCCGGAGTCTGTGATTATCGTCGCAATCTCCCGTTGCTTTACAACCTTTTTTTTTTTTGACCCAGGAGAAATGCAAGTTACGCACAAGCCCTCCTGCTGCAAAGGGAGTGTGGGGATCGGTTTGGAATCGAAAGAAAGCCTCACCGGGAACCCATACCCACTAAAACTCCTGGGCATGTCGCAATAGCGTGACCTATATGGAAAGGGGGGGAGACACTCGTGGGAGTGGAACCTACATTTCAGTCTCCCCTCTCCGGTAGGTCAGAACGTTAGCCGTTCCACATGATCACTGTTGGGGAGGTCCGCCCTAATCTCCGCTCCGTCTCCTCCTCGAAGATGAGAACGCACCTCCCGGGACGTTCGGCACCCCTTTCGGAGGTGTCCTCCGGCCCCTCGCCGTGAAGAATTGGACGAGAAACGCGCCTGTTTCCTGAGGATGCGATCGGGGCTGGGTTTTGAGACTTACCACGTCACCTGAAAAGGGAGTAAAAAAATAAATGTGAAGAGTTATTTGATCGCATCCTCCCTAACAGTGTGGGGAATAGAAAAAGGGGGACAGAAGAGGAATCGACCGGGGTCGCCGACCCTCGAGAAGAAAGAAAAGAAAAGAAGTGTGTGTGTGTGTGTGTTCGCCCGACGACGACAGGTTCGCGCCCGCGTCCTCACCCTCACCTTCGCGACCTGCCACGTCGCTCCCGCCTCCGCCGCAGGAGACGCGAGCTTCCGGAACCGAACGACCCGGACGGGTTCGCTACTCCCGACCGGCCCGTCCGTTTCCATCACCTGCGCGCCCCTGCCGATGCTCGCTCCGAGAGAAAGGTTGAAGACATGAACCTGTAAATCAGAAACATTAATCCCCGTTCCCCCCCCTCGACGACCTCGCGACGACCGAAGCTTGCCAGACCCCGGACCGCCGCGAAGAACGCCAACGCACCGAAGCCCGGACGAATCTCCCCCCGACGTAATCGAGAAAGAGATCCGGAGCCCGACTCGGACTACCGGGACAAGTCCTTTCCTCCTTCGTGCCTCGGGAGACGGTACCGACCTGCCACGTCGTTCCCACCTCCCCGCAGAGACGAAGTGAGCTTCCGGAGGCGGTGAGAAGTTCCGAGGTTGCCGGGCCGACGAAACATTCCCCGCAGTCCGAACACAAATAGAAGTGGCATACCAGAATGCCATAATTGGAATGGGAAAATACATAGAATCCCATCAAGAGGACCCTATCTTAGCCCAAGTTATACATGCAGAAGAAAAAACTACAAAAAAAGGAGTTCTGAAAAGGGCAAAACAAATTGTCCAAGAAAATAAAGAAAACGAGATAATGGAAGAAGAGCAACTTTCAACTTATGATAGCAAAGCCCAATCTCAGAAGAAATTTTGTAATATCTCCATTGGAGTAAGCCGAGAATATGGAATGGATGGATTACCCAAGAAGTGGTACAACCACATTGCGACCCCAGTTACGACCGCCCCTCCTCCCCAGGAAAAGAAAAAAAAATGAAAAATTTTCTTTACCTTAATATATATATATATTGTTATGATCCCGTACTCAATATTCACATTTTCAACTTTTTATAAACAAAAGACTGGCGACGAACTCAAATTGTTCTTCTTTAGAAGCGAAGCTTCTAAAGACTCCTTCTTTTATTTTATTTGCAAGTGTTTGCTCGAACATTCGAAACAGTTGACTGACGAAAGACAAAAGTAATATAGGCAAGCTACACAGCTTGGCGTTGGTTCATTTGATTTTTAGTCTAGCTGTAATAAGTTCTTGTTTATTAATATTAGTTTTGTTAGTGATAGTTTTAAGTGCTTGTTCATTACTTACAAAAATAAAGAACGAACCGAATATAACATATTAAAATTTTGGCGCAGTCGGTAGGATCATTCTGAACGACAAGAAACCGGAGAATTCTTAAGTAATTCGTTTCATGTTGGTGGGTTTTAACTCTTTATCAGAATTTCTTTATATTGTAAGTAGTAGTAATAGGTAACTCATTTTGTGAACAATGCCTAAACTTGATCAACCTGTTTTCAACCCATCCCAAATACCCCTTGATTTCTTGTGTAGTCTAGTTCCTAATTTTTTTTCCGGAGAAAGGAACCAACTTAATGCATTTATCTCTGATTGTGATAATGCTATCGAATTGTCCTCTGAAGAGAATAAGTATCCACTCTTCAGATTCATCTACTCCAGAATCACTGGTAATGCCAAGATTCGAATTTCTTTGTACGATTTTGATAATTGGGATGACGTAAAAACGAAATTAATTGAATTATACCAAGACAAGAAACCCCATAGTCAACTGATAAAAGAATTGATTAATCGCAGACAAAAATCAACATGTATCCACTGTGAAGATAACACAATAAAATTGATGGAAAAACTTAAAATTTTAGAAGTTACAGAATCCAAACTTGAAGTTAAAGAGAAAACAGATCCTTTACCAGAATCCAAACTTGAAGTTAAAGAGAAAACAGATCCTTTACCAGAATCCAAACTTGAAGTTAAAGAGAAAACAGATCCTTTACCAGAATCCAAACTTGAAGTTGAAGAGAAAACAGATCCTTTACCAGAATCCAAACTTGAAGTTGAAGAGAAAAGAGATCCTTTACCAGAATCCAAACTTGAAGTTGAAGAGAAAACAGATCCTTTACCAGAATCCAAACTTGAAGTTGAAGAGAAAACAGATCCTTTACCAGAATCCAAACTTGAAGTTGAAGAGAAAAGAGATCCTTTACCAGAATCCAAACTTGAAGTTGAAGAGAAAACAGATCCTTTACCAGAATCCAAACTTGAAGTTGAAGAGAAAACAGATCCTTTACCAGAATCCAAACTTGAAGTTGAAGAGAAAACAGATTCTTTACCGGGATCAATTCCTGCTCAAGAGGAAAAAGCACCCTCTACAAATTTATCTAAGAAAAAGGCTAAAGAAGCACCCTCTACAAATTTATCTAAGAGAAAGGCTAAAGAAGCACCCTCTACAAATTTATCTAAGAGAAAGGCTAAAGAAGCACCCTCTACAAATTTATCTAAGAGAAAGGCTAAAAAAGCACCCTCTACAAATTTATCTAAGAAAAAGGCTAAAGAAGCACCCTCTACAAATTTATCTAAGAGAAAGGCTAAAGAAGCACCCTCTACAAATTTATCTAAGAGAAAGGCTAAAGAAGCACCCTCTACAAATTTATCTAAGAGAAAGGCTAAAGAAGCACCCTCTACAAATTTATCTAAGAAAAAGGCTAAAGAAGCACCCTCTACAAATTTATCTAAGAGAAAGGCTAAAGAAGCACCCTCTACAAATTTATCTAAGAGAAAGGCTAAAGAAGCACCCTCTACAAATTTATCTAAGAGAAAGGCTAAAGAAGCACCCTCTACAAATTTATCTAAGAAAAAGGCTAAAGAAGCACCCTCTACAAATTTATCTAAGAAAAAGGCTAAAGAAGCACCATTACTTCCTAAAAATAAAAATAAGAAAAAAGGTCTAAAAGTAAAAGAAGAAAGATCATCCATACAGAATTCAAAACCTAAAAATCATCCTAAAGCTGAAATTCAAAAGGAAACAAAAATTTCAAATAAAAATATAGGAGCTACTAAAAAAATTCACAAGCATAATTTTGGGAAGCATACTAAAAAGCGGAAATGGAATTCCAGTACCAAGAAATCTAGGAAGAAAGCATCCATTCTTATGTCAACCGATTTTCACGAAGAGAGTATTCCTGAGGTAAAGCTATTTTTACTAAGTAAAGTTCACCTATCGTCTAATGAAAAAGAGAAGATTCAAACCAGTCAAAAATTAGCAAGAGGAAATCTAAATAAAAAACTTAGTCCTGAATTTAAAGATCCATACGAGGTCAAGAAAATATCTGGCAAAAACGTTTTATTAAAAATCCGTAACAAGGAAGTTACTTATCGCAAAACCGTGTTCTGAGTAGTTGATCTAAAAAGAGAGAAATCCAAAATAATAATAATTTAATCCTTTAATTTTTCCTCATACAGCTAATCATCATTTATTTTATTATTAATCCATTTATTCTATTTCTAATCATTATTCTATGTTTCCTATATAAAATTCTTGTATTTTTCAGAACTTATGTCAATTTTGTTTCGAATTTCATGTCTCTTGATTTTATTCTTTTATCTTTACTCTTTATGTACATTGTTCACTAACGAGTATTGCCTAGGAAAGGTTCTACTACTTGCAGCTATAAAGCTT